TGCTATTAATACCGTTCTATACCTATTATCTACACTATTAAGGTTTAATGTATATCCATAGGGTATTGATTTATATGGCAATGACTTCAATCTAATATTTGGCTTGTTTGAAAATARAGGCAGACACACCGCGWCATTCCTCAGAATAATTTTTTGTTTATACAATCACTTATCATTGATTTCAAATTAAAACACCTATTACAATAACCTACATGCTATCATATATAATATGTATATATATATGTTATAGCCATATATATATATTACTTTCATAGCGTACAGGATAATTAAACAAGCCAGTAAATCATTGTACCGTTTCCAAGTACCTATAGTAAATATTTGACACAAAATTTACATTTTAAAAGCATTTTATTTTAATTATTTTATTAATTTACCTGCATAATTTGGAGCAATATCCACCACTGCAGCGAGTGCCCCAGAAGATATTGCGCCGTTTACAACAGTTGCGCTGAAAAGCATGATTACCGCGACTACTGAATTACATCCAGAATAACAAAGACCCAAAATGAATAACCCTTGTAAAATATTACCTATACTCAAAACATAATAAAAAAAAAACAAAAATTTAGCTGTAATACTTTAAATATTATATAAAGTTTATTAATTTATAAATGTTTCTTACAAAAGACTGTGGCCATCTTGCGTACATTGGTCATCGACATTTTTTTAGATTTCACTAAACGATCGCATATCATACTAAATCCGAAAGAAAACGCCCATCGAGCAAAGTGAGGTATTCCAGACCATAAACCTGTCTGAGAAACGTTTGTTTTTACAGTTGTAATTGTTACTTTTTCATGTTATACCTGTTTTATATTTAAACCTAAGATAAAGTTAAAATATGATGGAGCTTGAGCTGCAAGTGTAAATAAGCCCCAGATACCTCCAGTTTGAGTCACTAAATTCACCATTAGTGCTTTAGATAAAAGTAATGATTTCCAAGGTATCGGTAACTGCAACAATATTGAAATATATTATATGAAAATAGAACACAATAAGTAATAAAATAAAAAAGCGGGTAAGTCGTGGATGT